ATTATTATTATTATTATTATTATCATTATCATTATCATTATTATAATTATTTTTATTATCATTATCATTATCATCATTATTATTATTGTAATTGTTCTTGTATGCACAGTATCAAAACAGTGGTTTGAAACAATTGCTTCAGTTGCTTGTATTTTACTTACTTTCTGTAGATAACTTTCGCTCACTTTAACCTTTCTTTTCATGCAGTTATTTGTGTCGCTGTCTGCTGGATGTTGTTACAAACTGGTGCACCTTAACCTGGCCAGGAATCCTTTCAGCCACAGGTCAGCTCCACTGTCCATATCTGTAAACTCATTGGACTTCAGTTTCTTAGTTGCTTTGAAATGCAGCAGCTTTTGAAAACCAGAAGAGGGCATTCCAAGCCTATGGAGTCATACTGCGACAATTTATAGGATCAACCAGTCCACAAGTTTACTAAACAACATTAATGAACAAATTAAGTATGAATATTCACCACAGTACTGCAGTACCTCAGGTTACAGTCTGAGAACATAGTAGCATGAAGTGTTCAGAAGGAGCTTTGACAGCATGTGCACAAACTGGCTTATACCATAAACAAGTGGCTTTTACAACATATCACCTGATGTTGTTGAGAGTTGTTAAAGTTGTTAAATGTGAAACGCCTTTCACCATAGAAAAAAAGAGCAGTTCCAGAATTAGTAGATAATTTAGGTGTCAACATAAATAAATAAATCAGTAAAAAAAAGATGTCCCATAATTTCTTTCATCCAACGTGTGTTTTTATAACAATATGCTCGGTGCTGTGTTTGACACAATCTTGTTACAAATTCTTAGGAACTTGAAAAATGATATTTAATATTTTCCATATACACAATATATTAAGCCATTAAAAAGATATCATGTTAAACTGTCATCAGCTGATAAATTCATAGATTAATTCACTGATAGATTCAGAGATCGAGAGGTATCTACTAAGTTATCTATTAATTGAAAGGTTGAATATGTGAACCTGATCCAGACACCCTGCTGTCTTCATGAATGTTTATGTGACTACCTCTCTCTCCCTCTGTGTGTGTGTGTGCACGTGTGTGCACGTGTATAGAAAGGTGCAGGAGGTCACGAGGAGCATTCAAGAGTTCTTTAGTCAGAGCTGTGAGCTGAAATATGTTGGGCTGTCTGCAACCAAACTACCTCCACAAGCTCTCAGGTGTGTGGGAACTGTGAAGTGGCTGAAAAAGTCTGGCTAAAAATGTAGTTAATTAATGAATGAAGCCCTGAAATGGGAATTAAAATGCATGTTTTTGTACTTTTATATTCTAAATCAGTCACACGCAGTTAGTTGAGACGTTTTTTTGCACAGCTATATTTCTCCACCGCTACACCGTAGGCACTTTTCACACTGCATCTCAGAGTAATGCTAAGGACCACAAAATTTCTTTGTGGGTTTTATTTTCATCAGTGTATTTTATCAGTGCTTTGCCATTGACCTTTCATTTTTGTGAATCATTACGTAACTCAATAAAAACCTGTTTGTTAGCTGTGCTTAATGACGTCAGACAGCAGGAGAAAAAACGTGAGGGTTGATGTTAGTCAGCGCTGGCAACCTTAGTTGTATTTAATATGACAGCATTTTTGACTTGGTTAGAATAAAGATGAATAAAAATATAGTTTTTCCACCTCTCTTATCACAATTACTATTGTACGTACTAACCGTGAAGCATCCCATGTATCAGTAAGAGATGTTTTGAAGCGCTTTAGGTTCATATGTGTGAAAGTTTTTGTCAAACTATATCTTGTTAGGAAATACTAGGTTAAAAAAGCAACCATTGCTTACCTTCAGCGTACTACTGTCCACACTGCCAGCACATATTGTACTTTCTAAAACACAATTACAAATACTGACGACCTAGTAGTCTGTGGTTAATGAATCTATTGATATGTTTTGCAACCAGGTTATTACTGCAGGGTCTGGCAACCAACAAACGACTGTTTGGGCTGGAGTTAGACCTAAGCAGCTGCGAGGTACACACTCACATACCCTCATGCAGAAAGAATAGCTTTTTTCATTTATGATGAATGGTAGCATCCACAGTAGGTACATGTTTTAGACCAATAAATATGTGTTTGTTTATGTGTAGCTACGTTCAGCAGGAGCCCAGGTGATACAGGAACACATCTCTGAAGCCACAGCCATCAGAAGTCTGGATATCTCTGACAACAGTATGCAAAACAACTTTCTTACACACAAATCCAATTATGCCATATAAAACCTGCAAAACTCATTTCAGTACATTGAAGTTCAGGCTCACAGTCCCCGCTCTAACTCATCCCAAAGGAGTTCTAACTCAGTCAAGTTCTTCCACACCAAACTGTCTCATCCATGTCTTTATGAACTTTGCTTTGTGCACTGCTGTGCAGTCGTAGTGCAACAGGAAGGGGCCATCCCCAAACTGTTCCCACAAAGTTGGGAGGATGAAATCCAAAATGTCTTGGTATGCTGAAGCATTAAGAATTCCTTTGACTCCAGAGAACACGTCCACTGCTGAGTCCACTAGCAGCACTTTGACAGGCTTGGATGCAGCTGCACGGCCATGGAAACCAACTCCATGAAGCTCTTGATGCACTTTATCAGCTAATCTGAATGCCACATAAAGTCTGTTGTGACTGACTCAACCCAAAGTTGGTGACTTCTGTGTGTGACAGTGTATCTCTGAGTTCTTTGCCTTATTTTGTCAAGTGCTTATTTTCAAAGTCAAATTATTTTTCCTCTCCAGCGTTAGGTGAGAAGATTGATAGCACCCTCATAACTATAACCTTAATATGATCAACAACAATTTGACAGTTAGCTTTTTTTCACTAGATGAATAATAAGAGAATTATTAAAATACAGTAAACCCATTTACACCAGGAAGAATGAATGCTTCCACCACTTTTCCCTTGCTCTCTGACTGTAGGTTTTGAGAATGACATGGTGACCCTGGTTCTGTCAGTCGGTCGATGTCAGTCTCTTCGACATCTTGCTCTGGGGAGAAACTTTGCCATGAAATCCAGGTATGACGAAAAAGATTAAGAGGTCACCTTACTCTACCACCACATTGTCTACTGACATCAGTTTATCACACTGACCCTTCACAATATTTAAAATGTTTGCATATAGCAAATACAACTGATTATCTCATTTGAATGTTCATTAAAAGTAAGTGGTTATACATAATAGTAGAGTCCGCTGTGTGCAGCAGGTCATCAGAATAGAAACATAAAAATGGTGGCCATCACTTTTATAGAATAAGATTGTCAAAGATGCCAACTGAAATGCAGATGTTCACAGTTATATGTAGGGGTGCACATCAGTGGTCCACATTTGCTGTCAAAATAAAAGACGCGCACAAGATAAGACGTTGCAACGCGCGTTTGCGTCCATACAAAAGGCAGTGTTTTTGTCCACTAGAGTGGGATTTTCACGGCACATTCTGCACCACATCCCTGTGCGTTCATCATCTGTTTGAAGCCAGCTCACCTCCTGCAACCACTTTTCCGAGAATACGCGCTTCTTTTGTGGTTCGGACTCCTTCTGACATTTCTTTGGAGGTGGAGGAACACCACAGTAATTGCTTAAAGGAGCTTCTTTGACATCTTTAAGAGTTCTAAACAAATGTCTGTCCTCCTCCAGAAAATCTTATGTACGCAAACGCGCGTTGCAACTTCTTATCTGGTGCGCGTCTTTTATTTTGACAGCAAATGCGCACCTGCGGACCACTTATGTGCACCTCTGGTTATATGTTTTTAAACTGAGTAACTGAATTCAATTAAACAACCTTTGCATGATATAAAATTTGTATTGCACACAAAGTATAGTAATAGTAATGTAAAAAAAACAGAAACTGCAACATCAGCAACTGTAAAGCTGCACTTTCAGAATCTGTAACATCATCGCTCAGTATTAATGCAGCAAACTGATGCATGATTTGGACAATATGGTAACATCATTTCTGTGGTAGAACATAGACATAGGTCAGAATATTTCCAGGTCAAACACACATTTGACCTATTTATCATAATCCAAGCATTTATCGGCATTTATGTTCCTGCCTCTAGCTATATTGGTCCTAGATTCATAAGCTGAGTTTCTCTTTTCCATAGACACCAGGTGTTGTTACAAGGTACACAAAGAACTATCACTTTCTGCCACCCGTTTGGCTCAACCCACAAAACGTGCCACTGCTAATTAAATCTTTCAGATCACAATATTTATTTCAAAGTCGGTGCTATTTGTAAACTAGTCAGCCTGTAGTTTAAAGAATGTAAATCAGTAAATGTATTTTCTCCTTGTTCTTAAGTTTTTCTCTTCTTTCTCCCTTCATTTCATGTCTGCCTACTTTGCTATCGACCAGAGCGCTCACTGACGTTCTTCAACGTATAGCTCAGCTAATCCAGGATGAAGAGTGTGTGAGTGAAACCTTCAGTGTACTTTAATGTAATTCAGTAGCCCTGCACTGGATGTCCAGCCTGTCAGATGTGTTACCCTGCCTGTGACCCTGAAATTGAAATCTGTGTTTGCAGCCCTTGCAGTCTTTATCAGTGTCTGACTCCAAGCTGAAGACTGGGATGCACATTCTGCTGAGTGCTTTGGGTGGTCATGCAGCTCTGGTTGAACTTGACATTAGTGGAAACTTTATTGGAGATACAGGAGCTAAAATGCTGTCCAAAGCCCTGATGAGTAATACCAGCCTGAGGTGCACATGTAAACACACACACACACACACACTCTCTCTCTCTCTTTTAAGAATGTTTGTAATTAATAAATGTTCTAATCCAAAGAGCTAATTAGTGAATTAATGATCATCCTTTCAGAGGCAGAGAAAGTATGAAATATCAGTGGAAGACAGAGCTGTATTTCCTCAAACTGACTGATCTCTCTTTTTTAAGGACTTTAACATGGGACAGAAACAGTGTGACTGCTAGAGGTTTCCAGGATGTAGCAGATGCCTTGGAGAGGTCATGGACACACACACACACACACACACACACACACACACACACACACACACACACACACACACACACACACTTGTTAAATAACAGCGTCCAGGTAAATGTCAAAAAACACTTTGCTGGCTTTTACCAGAAAAAATATTTTTTAAAATATACAATTCCTTTGAAACACTGGCTGCTTTTTCACTCGTGTTTAGTCCAGTCCTTATAGCTGACAAATTTCAAAGGAATGTTTTGTGTGTTCACTTGTTTATTTGATTCCTAAGCTGCTTAAGACGGATCTATGGATCTTTCAAACATAAAAATGGCACCTAACCCAAGGAATGAACCAGTAACATGTCTACATATAATAGACAACTTATCAAAGAACCATTTAAATCATATATTTATGCAACAGAACAAAAAGCAGCCGATATCCGCAAAAGAGCTTTGTAATGTCTTTCAAGATGCTTCGAGAACTATTCCTGAGGACTATTTAGAAAAGTTATGTGAGAGAATGTAGGCTGTGTTGAAGAATAAAGGTGGTCATATCATAGAAAGGCAAGTCCCAATAAATTGCTGCACCTAGTTCCCATTTTCCTATTAAATATTTTTAAAAGAAAGACAGACTCAATATGGGTGACGGTGCAGTAGTCAGCTCTGGTACTTCATAGCAAGAAGGACCTGGGTTTGAATCCAGTCTGATGCTCTGTGTGGAGTTTGCATGTTCTCCCTGTGCACCGTTAAACAGATCCATAATTTGATGTTAGGTTTCTTTGTTATGCAGGAACTTCACTCTGCAGCACATGTCTCTTCCCCTTGCCGATATCACGCCGAGTTACCGTAGCAACCCTGACAGAACAAAAGAGGCCCTGCACAAGGTCAGTGTGTTTAGCAGGTTGTTATTTAAGATTGTATGTGTTTTATGCGTTTAGGGCAAGGGTCAATTAATTTTTACATCACAGTTGAAGTTCATGTTTTCTCTTGTTTTCTATTGCTGTGTTTTTTTGGACATCAGAGAACTGAGACAGCAAATGCAGCCAGCATAAACATCTAACAGATTCATTGTACTCTATGTAGCGATACAGTCCAAATTTATATTATATATAGTAATATATATTAATTGTTGTTTGGAAAGGCTTCTTCTTTTTCTGGACGTCAGCTGCGTGTCTTTGTTTGTGTGTGTGTGTTCAGATTCAGCAGCATTTAGACAGAAACAACCAGAGACAGTCTGACAGCATAGAACTTCGACAAGTCTTTAGAACTCAACAGTCTGAAAAGGTAAGCCAGTAAAAATACAAGATATTAATTTATGTAACTGCAACATCATTTATTCAACTAGTAAATTTATATAACTAGTAATAGTTGCTGCTCCACCACAAATGATTTTCCTTACAAATGTGGCTCATTTTAAGGGGAATTAAACAGGCTTCACAGCTTAATTACCAAGAAACATTGTTACAACAAAGAAATAATTGACCAAATGAAAATTACCTTACTCTTTGTACCAGGTCATATAAATCTTATGTGTATGTTGTCCACCGTTTTAGCTCATCCATGGAATGTGTCGCCAGTTAGAGAGCAGCCTTCAACGTTTAAGCCACTGTAGCATTCAAGAGGACCAAGCTGATGTCCTCAAAGCGCACGAGGTGCTGCAACATGCCAGGGACTCTTTAAAGGTACATGCTTCAAATTTAATTTTGGATATTTAAGCATATTTAAGTATGTTTTGATTGTTTTCCTCCTACCTTTGCAAATACAGGGGACAGAAGATACAAAAAACCTCTTTTAGATGACGTGAATGCTTTTTGAATGAAGTCAAGCATTAGCCTGTAACAATATCCTCACTGAAGTGACCAGGGATTGTAAATGATGCTGTATGCCACCTAATATTTCTTTTGGTATTATTTGTGTAGCTGCTGCCGTCGCTATATGAGGTAGGCAGGAAGTGCGCCTCTGATGGAGACTTTGTGAACAGCATTCTTACTGACACGGCTACTGCACTGACCAATGAGTTCACTAGGAGCATACAGGTAAAGGTTTAGAAAGCACTCACTGTGTGCACACGCGTACACACACACGTTCAAGAAATATGAGAATCCATGTCCAACTTCAACTTCAGCAACAACAACGAGCACACACAGGTAGCCCAAATCAAACATGAATAAATTCTTGAAAAAAGGCTTGGCTTGCAAATAACTTGGGGGTGTCTTCATCTACAGAACACAGTGTAGTTCAAAGTATCTGAGAATCCCCAGAAAGCTTAGTTAATATAGACTGAGGCAAAATAGAGTAGAGCCATAGTCTGAGCAATCAAAAAATGAATTTATTTTGGAATGGACGCTGTTTTTTCAGCTAGCTACATAATTTGTCTGCTAAAGTTTTTAAAAAAAGCAAAAATAATAGCTGTTTTAACCCTTTTCTTAAAGTTGTCTATATTATTTCCAATTAAGTTAAGAGTGTTAATGACGTTTGAAAATTCTGTCTTTAATTTAAAAAAAAAACTCATATATGTATTTATGTGCATATATATTTTAAAAAGAAAAAGAAAATTTTAAAAAATAGACAAAAAAGTGTGCAAAAAGTGATCAGAAATGAAAATTATGTAACATAATACCATGTTCGAACTATTACTGTAAGTTCTTAAGGCTATTTGGGAGTTTAGTCTGAAGCCAAACGGTAGCATTTGAAGCAATTTCTCATCACACCTCACATTTCTCTCAGATGATGGTGGTTAATTGACTTTGCAAGATTTGCAATGACCCCACTTGTCACAACATGCAACCTTGTTAGTGTGAACGTCATCAACAACAGGAGCACTCTTGGGTGACGGTGGTGAAGATCTGATGCGCAGTGATGGGCGCCCCCCTTTGTGAATTCAAAGGATCAGGCTAACGTCTGCCTGGAAGCTCTTTTGTTTCAGTGGCTTTTGGACACCAAGTAGTTTACAGTCAGGGTGTTAAATGCATTGACAACACCAAGCGTTACAGTTTTGAGTTTAATTCCGGATGTGACATGTGTGTGACAACGCTATGTGACAAATGTCATCTATATCAAACTGTTTTAGAAACGTTGCCAGACTAGGTTATATGTGACATGTTATTTAACGATTAGAATTGTTGAATGAGTTTAAATTTACCTTTGGTAAGAGAGAGCTGGGGTTTTTAAATTAGTTAGCTGCCTAGGTGTGCTGCCATTTTGGAAATGATGTCATGGGTGCTTGCCAGGTCAAGCTTGGTCTTGAGGGAAGATTGTTTAATGCTGTTTCATCTTCAGATGCCCAGTCTTGTCCTTACTGAAGTCCTAGTCTTTGTGTTCCAGGAGCTGTCTCAAGGCTTGATGAGACACGCTGATGCTTTGTACCCACGGGTGGTCCAGCGGTCTAGTGTGTGTGAGTGTCTTTCAGAGTGTGTCTCCAAAAGAAGCACACAGACACACATATTCATAAGAAGCACTCTGGTGGAGAGCACAGGGCACATCATCAACAACAGACTGCAGTAAGGACATTTCCACAGAGCAGTGGTTAACATTTAATAAATGTTTTTAATGAGATCCCTTATGAGTTAGTACCTATCAGTACCTATTACATATCAGTAAGGTAAAGCACATCATATCAGGATTAGAGATATTGTAGGAGGGCCCTATTTGATGAGTTAAATAAAGATTATTTAGTGTGATGGTTCCATGCTCAGTGTATACATTCTAAACATTATAGACTGAAATGTACACATTTCTTTGTCTTTTTTCAAAGTTAAATAAATAAATGCCTGATAGGTATGAACCCTTAGTTTTAGAACTTGTATTAACAATAGGAAACTGATCTACAATACACTGTGAAAGCATCTTTGTTTTAGTTTCTCTGTTTAGATAGAACAAATGACATAAACTGTAAAAGACACAGTCTGGTTAGGTAGAGTTGCAGACATTTGTGACTGTAAATCTCTGGCACAGTCATTGCATCTCTTATACCATGTCCTCATCAATTAAGATGTTCCTTATTTCCTCTGTTGTGTTATTAAAGTGAACTGAAGAAAACACTGACTGTCACTCTGGCTGAAAGCATTGTGCAGCAGGTGCTACAGGATCTAAAAGTGGCACAGGACAAAATAGTAAGTGCAT